ATGTGTGAGTGAGCCTTTCGAATATCGCTGTGTTGATTGCATTGCACACTTCAACGCTTTGGTTTCCTTTCAGGTTTACAGCGAAACACGGTATCAAGGTATCAGGGCCCACTTCTTGTAGGTAAAGCATAGCTTTATCATCCTAAACGACAGACAAGATAAAACAGTACTTAACTTTGTTGCTGTGTGTTATCAAAGAGTTGCTTCTCTGTCAATGATAAAGTAAAAAAATTGTCACCGCAAGCAAATTCAAAAGGTGACGTCAGTTAGAGTGCTATTGTTCCGTTTATAACAAAGGGCTTTAATAGTACCCGGAACGTCTGCTTTGATGAAACTTTCATTAGACGAGTTTAGCTTGTAAGTTTTGTTTCCCCTATTCAGACCACAAGATGATGTTCGCCTGGAGATTTTTCTTTTTGTCTTTTCATACATTGTGCATACAAATGCACGTGGATGCGCGTGCATCGGACGACGTTTGAAAGAAACAGTTCTCTCAGGTACGATCACGTGGTCTGCAATTGGAAAACAAAACATACAAGCTAAAAACAGTCTATTAGTCAATGATCGTTTGGTCCTAAATTTCTCAAATCCGATTAGCTGGCAAAAGCCTGGTCGCACCTACACCTGTAACTAGTAGCCAGTTAAGGTCGTGAAAGGCACTCAGAAAGAGTTTCTTGTCTATTCCCTACATGTATTTTGTCATTATGTTTTCTTAGAATAGGAATTAGTTATCGGGAGTCATTCAGCAGCAGAGTTATGTATAAAAGGTATTAATGCAATTACTGTAGTAAATTAGACTGATGTTATTGGGCTGTACAAAACCTCCTACTATTTAATTACTCTTGACTAATAACTCTGACTTGCAAAGTACCACCGTTACAACGCTTGCGAGTGGTATATCGTGAAATATCCCACAAGTGACTTGATTTCAGATAAACAAGCTAAAAGATTTACGCGAGCAATTTCTTCGTTGCTTTTTCCGACAATTCGTTCTCTGATGAATGTAATATGATCCTCCTCTGACCAGTTAGTCAAACTGGGTAGAGGAATCGTCGTTTTGATGACAAAAATGTCGTCTTCTTTGGCCAGCGTTGCCCACTGACAGTACAGGATCTTTGCGTTGAACATGCACTCAGCCAGGATACGACCATAACCGTTTTTGTGAAGACCAATGACCTACGAAATGAGGAAAACGACATTGAAGAACACTAAGTAAGCTTTATTCATCCTATAAGCAATTGGCAGGAACAATAGTCGACTAATTTTTCTTTTAAACATAAATTCTGAAGTACAAAAATTAAGCTTTGATAGACTTTGATAAATTTTCGAATTCAGTTTACTGTTTCCGTTTCGAACGGAGCAACCGGACCTGAGGGTTAGAAAATGGCCTCGCCACTCATATTACTTGACTTTTTCGCATCCATATTGACAAATTTCGAACTTACTTACCCATATCTGTGCATTTCTGAAACTGAAAACCTTCGCTTCTTCCACTGTATTCATAGAATGACCCCAGTACTATTAGCATCAAGCTCACTTGTTTCCAGAAGAGACTGATTAATGATGATATCACACATGAACCAGAAAAAATAACTTGGTGTTTTGTCGAAACGTAGTCGTAATAATTGGGCTGTCTTATATAGACTTTTTTGAATTTATTACTAAAAGAAAAAGATTCATAAATGGTTACCCTGTTTGCCATCATGACCCCTACAGCAGCTGCCCCAGGTTTGGATCCCTCGATACCGACGTCACCGATAATCATTTTTCCATGGTAGTAGAGCACTTTAGTGGTGATTGACAGAAATGAGTTCATCCTTCTGTCTCTGTAACAGATTGCACCGCCTGGATAAGGACAGAAGCCAGATTTGTGGGGATCAACAGTGATTGTATCACAATGGTGGAGAGCTGATAACTGTTCGTGGACGTAGGAACTCATGTACATTTCTGGAACAAATCCTGTTCCTTTGGCTGTCGGCATAGGACTGCTCTCCGGCTGCGTCCGTAGCATACTACAGAAATATCCTCCCCAAGCTGCATCCGCGTGAATGCTGAAGTTGAGACTCTTGATATGAACAAAGTCATGGGTTTTTAAAATAGACATTTCTTCAAAGTAATACCTAATTTATGGCATAAATATTTTAGGAAAGTGGCGCCAGGTAAAAAGAGATCTATATAATAATTACACTGCAGAAAACGGTGGATGATAGTGATCACGATGAAGATACAAATGATGATTATCATGATGATGATGATGATGATGATGATAATGATGATGATGTTGATGTTGATGTTGATAATGATAATGAGTTTGATGGTTTTGACAGTGTAGGAAATTTTAGATATGAGGTCAAATATAGTTATCCTTACCTTGATTCTAAATTTTTCGCGCAAATAGACAACCGCAGTCACTGGATCAACGGCGCCTTGCTCAGTTGTTCCCGTGACAGCTACTACCGTTATGACTGGAATTTCCTTATCCAATTTTTCTTTTAGAATGCGGTTCAAATCTAAAATTTCATAAAAAATAAATGTTATCTTTCAATGAAAAACAACTCTGATGGTCACAAACAAAGAGTAAGTAAATGTAATTCACTTCCATATATAACTCACAACTTGGTTAATACGCATTTTGTTAATGTTAATTAAATACACCTTACAGTTATTTGTTCTGCTTCCGTTTTCTGTTTTTTTTGTTGTTGATTAAAAAAAAAACAGTTGGCGGCTAAATGAAAAGACAAAGGACAGAACTATACCAACCAATAGGATCCATCCGCGAGTTTTCGTCAACTGCTACAGAAACAAGGCTCTCTCGACCAAGTCCAAGGATTGTGGCTGCTTTCGTTAAGGAAATATGTAATGTGCTTGGAACAACAATGCATGGACTTTGTGTTAGCATATGTCGCCTTGCAAACTCCTGTGTTCCAATGGACTCATAAAGGTACTTGGACATTATTTCCATAAATTCATGATGTTCGAGGCTTGTCAAAGCTTGTACTTCTGAAGGCATTTGTAAGATAGTGCCGACATCTAGGTTAAGGAGTTCCCACTGTGAAGCGCTGATTAATTCTTCTTTTTTTCCTCTCTGAGGCAATAAAACCTGACCGGAGAAAAATAAAAAATATATATGGATCCGTCACTAAACACTCACTGACTGATCACGAAGCGGGACATAGTTAATTCTCTTTGCCAGGAAATAACAAAAAAAATCTCGATGTTTGGTTGAATCTAGACAAGATTTTTAAGCTGTAGAAAAAGACTTGTGCGGATCATGCTGTTGAAAGAGTATAATCATGTGTCCAAATCTTTATTTTAACAATTTAATACTCTCAATACTTAACAAATGAATAAATTTTTTTGTCGAATGTCTAAAATATGAGTCCTTACAAAATCAACATCCTGGAGCGTTAACAGATTTTTTTAAGAATAATAATGAAATCCATGGTCATAACACTCGTTTACATGAACTTCTACGTAAACCCTTGGGTAAAACAAATGTACGGAAATGTACTGTTACAGACAAGGGGTTAGATATAATTTATAATAGCTTGACGGATGACATAAGAGACAGAACATTCATCATGGGTGAAGAGGTAGAATGAAACAGTGATTCCACATTTGTAATATTTTATATATATTCGATTTAAGCACATATATAGTATTGATTATGTAAAACCTTATTTCCTAGCCAAAATCGTCTACGTCATCAAATGAAATTGGTGTAAATTGACAGGGAGTCTCCTTGATAAGACCAGAAAGGCTTCTGAGAAGTTCCTGTTCAATATTCTAATTATTTCGTAAGTACTATCAAAACATTGTCACCTTACATACAATGTTGAGCAAATCAATAAATGAAATAAAAAACTTATGAATGGTTTCCGGTGAAAAGAACCTAAGTTATACAGTGTAAGTGGTTGCGATGCAATGTCTTTACACCATGTGTACTCAATCCAGTTAATTTCATCGCAGATGTTTACTTGGCATATGAGAGTTATTTAAAGCATTAATTTTCTTCTATTCTGGTCCTTGTGCCTTCTTAGCACTCTCCACGGTATTACTAAGTAATGTTCATTTGCCACGGCTGGCCAAACTGAAAATGGTATTTTCTTATATAGTCTACCAAAGCTATCCGTCCACATTATCCCTAAACGAAAGACAAAATGCATAGCTAAGCAAACCAGAACGCAAGTAAAACAGGGCAACGTACCTTGTAACTTTTGGCACCAGAAAGTCTTTTGTCCTTCAACAAAGCTTCTTGTAGTCCCAGTGGAAAGTACTTCACATTTCTTCCCGCCCAAATTGCTTCAATGTTGGCTACAGACCCCCCAGCGGTGAGATGTCCCATACATCTGTCCCTGTCATACCCCACCATGACGCACAGGTCTTTGCCCACATCCATTTCGTATTTACTTGTGACAGGAGAGGATTCTGATGCGCAGTTGTTTTGGTTGTACAACATTGCAGACATGTAGCCAAGGTTGGCTGGCATCGCTGTCTCCCATTGAACGTGGCCCTGAGGAAAAGAAGTACAGGTTGTTATATTAGTTAGTATAATATAATCATAAACAAAGGCGTAGATGTAAAAGCTATATATCCTTATAATATGTCAGGGCCAAAGTTTAAAAGGGTCAATAGTTTATTAGCCTTAGCCTATGGCTATTAAGTGTACTACAGGTTCTTTAAATATAGTCTGTACTTACTTACTTACCTATACTTATTTGTTATTATTATTATGGCCTCCTGTTATTATTATTATTATTATTATTATTATTATTATCATTACTATTATTAATATTATATGAATTATTATTATTAATATTATATGCATAGTATTATATGAATATTATTAAAACTCTGGACTGCCTACAAGAGTCATTGATCGCATCTGAGCCGTCAGGAATGTATTTGTTAATCGTTATTGACACAGTGATTGTATTTTTATGATTTATATAATTCTTAATGTTATATAGTGCTTAATTCTTACTTCAAATATTTCTGTAAATTGTGTACACATTTTTAAAGTTGAATAAAATTATTGTATTATTATCCCTGTTATTATTATTATTATTATTATTATTATTATTATTTGTTATTTAACTTGTTTACTTTTTAATATCAGAGACGGATAATTCTCTTTTGTAATGACTTAATTTAAATCTCTGGACTGCCTGCAAGAGTTCTTGACCGCATCAGAGCGGAAAGGAATGTATTTGGGAAATCGTTATTGACACAGTGATTGTTTTTTTTTTTTTATGATATAAACAATTCTTAATGTTATATAGTGCTTAATTCTTCCTTCAATCATTTCTGTAAATTACGTACACATTTTTAAAGTTGAATGAAATATTATTAGTAGTAGCACTAGTAGTAGTATCAATTGTCATTTTCAAGACCTTTGTCGTTATCATCACCATTATCATTTTCAAAACTTTATCATTATCATTGTCCTTGTCATCATCATATCATTATCATTATAATGCTCATTATCATTATCATTATCATTACCATTCTCACTGTCATTATCAATATCATTGTCTTTATCTTTATCTTTATGCTGATTATTACTATCATAATATCATAGGTGACGAATTACTCCTTAATTTTGGCGCGAAATTTCAGGGTTAATTTGTAATTTCACCTGTAAAATTACAAAATTGCCATGGCAACCTTCCGTACGTCTCAGTGTCAAGATGGCGACGAAGTTTTAAAATGCCGTGAATGAAGATGTCAGGGCACAAAAATACGCTTTAGAAACCCTGAACACACAAGAGAACATCAAGAAGGATTCTAACAGGTATTTTGCCGTAAAAGTCTGAAAAATTCTGAACTTTAGAAGACAAATTTAAGGTCTAAACATTTGAGAGAGTCGATCGATACGATCCAGGATAAACATGTCAAAAATCCAAGACTGCTAACGTAATTCGTCACCCATGATATTAATAGGTAATCAAATGGTATACTCGTGAAATTAGGGAATAATTTCACTTGCGTTTTGTCCAAATCCTAATAATTTCCCGAGCCTTTTTTCACTCCTCACCATTTGATTAAACATACTTATCATTATCTTTATCGTTATTATTATAATTATCATTATTCTTAACTTTATCATTGTCATTATCACTGTAATTATCATTATCATGGCTTTGTTTTTATTTTTATCTTTTTCCTTATCTTTATTTTTGTCATTATCGTTTTGTTGCTATCATTATTTTTCATGAGGAAAAACGAAATGAATAGATGAATTGATGCTTGAAAAGTAATTAATTCTTGATGCCTTTACCTTGTATCTCGAACTGAAGAATGGAACAGACTTTTTTAATTCGGCCTGCAATTTTTCCATCTCAGTTTTTAACTTCTCCAAAGCAAAGCTGAAGGATCCTGCTTCTCGAAGCTGGTCTGTGACGTAAGGGGTATCACAGGGAAAGTAACTGTTGAACACAAAGGACAATTATTGGATGAGGTGAGTATGAAATGAATAAATGTGATACTTTTGTGGTGTGAAGCCATTTGTCTGTGGGCACACGACTCTTAGTTTTTTGAGATAGCTTAAGAGCTCTTTGTAATTAGAGACAAGGACGATTACGAGCTGACGAGATTTTCTTAATACTAAGTAGTGAGCGTGCGTGAACCAACGTCGTTTCTGCGGGAAACGCGGTAGCCGTCTTAATTAGAATGAAAGTCGAATAAAACCATTCAGGGTGTCTATATTTGCTTAAAATGCCAGTTTCCGAGCGTCCAATACGGCTTCCTTTGTCCCCTTTCCATTTTGTGCGACCTCTGTACGTAGGCTTTTGGAGTAATGACGCAAAGCTTACAAATAAGCCATTTTCGATGATAATTTTAATGATCATGCTTCTGGTTTTGAAAATTTCAAATAACTATAGAAGTGATTAATTACAAGAAAAAATTCAAGCTTGTAAGAGAAATAAATTCCCCATTTAAGAAAAATAAATGAAGACAACATATTATAGCCTGATTATTACTGACCACCTTACATGTGTGCTCCTGTACTTTAAATTACCTGTGACGGAATCCGATATGCGAATCGACAGCCTTCGTCAAGAGGTCCCGAAACACTTCCCCATTTTCTCCTTTGGGTCCCAAAAACCAAGCACCAAGGGATGCCCATTGTTTTTGCCTGTCGGTCACGTGATCCCCATTTGCAAGAGCTTTTCTTTGCTGCAATTCCATCAGTGCTTTCGACCAGTGCGCTTGCGATCCTCTTCTCAAAAACAGTTTTCGCCAGAGTCTAAATATCCTTGCAAAGAGAAGAAGACGTCTTTATGTAAACTAATTAGCAAAAAGCTCTTTGTGTCTGAGAATGATAACCGTGACGAATTAGATAGAAAAAAAAAAGTAAATAAAGAAATAATAAACTGTACTTCTGGTCATAGCACTGGTAATAATACCTGGGTAAAAATACTAAGAGCAAAGCTCTCAGGATGGGTATTTTTATTGATGCATTAATTTATCATGATTTATTTATTTTCTATTTCTCGATTGCTTTGTTCGTTAGTTTTGTATAGATTTTGACTGAAGAATAATTTCGTTTCGATGGTTATTGCCTGCGTCGCAGACGCTCTAAACCTTCTGTATATAGCATCTGCGAATTAGTGCACAATATCGTGTTCGAATCCCGCAGAGTCGCAAGGACATATGTCGGCGTTTTTGATTGGCTAATTTCTTACACAGTTTGTGATTAGTCCGATTTGAATTAAGTGTTGACAGGCCAAACATGACTCATAGCTCGTGACAAGAGAGACTGAGCTCGTGATAGTGTGAAACGTGACCTAAGAGTAGTCAGTTTGAGCAACAGAGGTTTTTCTTGCTCTCTTTTTGCGTAGTTTATGCAGTGCGTGGAGTATTCTACACTTTGACTGAGCAATTTTTTTTTCCGCTTTGAGTCTCACATTTAGAGGTTATGAAGCTGATTTGATCACAGATGCAGTTTACCATTGAAATATTTTTCTTTTACCTCTGTTCAAGCCGGAAACTTTTTCATTGCGGCTAAATAACCTTAGTTTCTTTAGTTTTCTCCGAAATGCCTGGACCTGAATAGCTACATGTGTGTACTTTTTTTTTCGCTGTGAATATCATGATTTCCTAATTTGTTTTGATTCTAGAACTGTCGGCTAGATTGCAGAATACGCGGCAGTGCATCTGCAGCGTTTGGAAGACGCTGGGAAACCAGTCGGCAATTTTACAAGCAAATTATGGCCTTGAAGGAATTCTCTCAAAGCATTTTTTTTGTTCGGAAGACGGCTTTAAAGTTCGAACTGCTCTTTCATTGTTAACGGTAAACGATCCTTGCCGACTCCCTTCTGCGAATTTTGACATGTCACTGCGTCCAACCGTCACGCACACGTAAGAATTAGGCCAATCGTGAGGCTCATAAGAAGCACGTAAGAAATCCGCCTATCCGAAACGTTCACATTTGTCCTTGCGACTCTGCAGGATATTAGAACGAGCTTTTGTGCACTAATTCGCAGACGGACTATACAAATGGTTTAGTCGAGTGCGTGGGCCGGCTGCAACGCAGGCTAGATGGTTATCGAAACAGGAAGTTTTTATTAAGACCCATCAATATTTTCATAAATTGCAAGTAATTCATTCGTAAAGGGTGATCTCGCTCCTGAAATGGAAGTTTTTTTTTCCCTACGACTCCAAAAGATTTTTGCCTTCTTCCTTCCTCACCACTTTCTCACATACAGAGATCGAATAAATCATATTCCTCCCTTGTGGGGCGACAATAATAGGACGTTATAGAGTGCAAATAAACTGTATTGGGCCACATGAAACACTGCTCAGTCTGTAATTTGCCAAGTCATTCAAGTCAGGCGCGATAATAGGTTTGTCAAAAAATCTTTAAAATAGAGCTAGGATTCTGATACTTTCTGACCACGCAGTTGACGTTTATTTCAAATTTAATTTGAATTGTTAATGAGGGTTGTATTGGTTTCAGTTAAGTCTTGCTTCGCTGAATAGAGCAACAATAGAAACACCTTAATTTACATGTACATTTTCTAAGGAACGTTGATGCCTAGATTTAAAAGTAGTTTCTTTTTTATCCCATAACATTTTGATTTCAAGGACGCTTGCTTACAGCAGCGTTTAACATTACATGTAGTTCTATAAACGCTGTAAATAAGGGCTTAATATTAATTTTTAATTTTTTAATTACAGAACAAAATGCATTACACCTCCACCTTTTATGAACTGCGCAATTCAATCAATATCCTGCAATTCAATCAATATCCTTAAGTTTAGATAAGTTTCGGTTCCATGCTTTTCAAATTTTGTAATAAATTTAGTTATTGTCAAGCATCACTGTCATCATCTCTCTGAATCATTTCGATATATGAAAGCTAAGGCGATGGGAAACACACTCAGAATGTTGGGTATTAGTGACTACTATGAGTTATACATCATATAACTGATAACCTGAAAGGTAGCTTGATGATATAATTAAGATATTACATAAGCTTGAAACCAAAAAATGTATTCCTAACAATCCCCCCTCCCCCTCCCCCCCTCCCCTCCCCCCGCCCTTTACAGCAGGCACTTTGGTTCACCGGACAGTACGTTATGAAATCGTTTTTTTTTTAGTTCTTTTTGTTTATTTTTGAATCAAGATTAGAAATAAATTGACATTCTAGACCATCTGTGCTCTTAAATGAGACCAGAATTAAATTCATAAACTTTGTAAGAAGTTTAAAGTCATCAACAAAAAAAGGTTATTTTATTTATTTATTTATTTATTTATTTATTTATTTATTTATTAATTCGCAATAAGCAAAAGAAGCACAAGAGAGCTTTGGGTTTTTGGATACGTAACCCTCGTATTATAAATTTCCCACCTAGCTAACAACTTGTCGTCAAAAAAGTATCGAAGATAACAAGATATGCATGTTATACTTTGCAGTTTACTCTATGTTTCACATCAACTTAGAAATTGTGGTATATTGGTCTCAACATATGTATTTCATAAAAAAAAAATACCTGTAAGCATTATTAAAATGTACACTCGCCTCTTACCTTTCACAGTTTTCCGAGGAACTTCTGGCTTCAAAGAAGCTTCCTTAACTTTAGCAAAATTAAGTTGATGGATGAATTTATACGCATGATTGAAGGTATGGTTACTAAGCAGTTAACGTCAGTTTTACTTGGACTCAGTTTCGGGTCGCTACCATTTTCGACCCTCTTGAGATAATTTTTACTCGATATTGAACCTGTTTCTAATTATAGGAAAGAAGTTCCGGCAACCCAGAATAGAACCCGGTCTTTTTGTGTTCTAAGTCTCTCTACTTTATTGCTGCGCTTCCACACCGATCGGCCAAATGTTAGAAACATTTAAATACATATCATAATAAACTATCTCAGAACTGTAAATGTCACAGTTATATAACTGGTGACCATTTGTTCCTTTGCCTAACTCTTAACATAAACTCAATATGGGCTAACACTTCCTTCTTTCTAGAATAGTTAAAAATATGGTTTTTGCCTTTTAGGCCTGTCTGGCATTCCGCCCCAGTGAGTTAAACACAATGAGACAGGGTAGACACTGTATTTTGCCACCTGAAGCCTAGCGAAGTTCGCTCGAGGGGGCTGTATTGATGTCAATATTGTTTTGTTCAATTTGTATAAATTAACAATTAGTTCATGCGTCAGCTGGCGTATGTTGAGATACTGAGCACTTGGGAAGTTTGGAGAGCACGAAAGAGGCGTAAGAGTTGCGCCGAGTGCAACTCTAGCCTCTAGCAACTCAGCCCAGATGTTTGTCCAGGATGTCCTTCAGCACTTATAATAACAGATAAAGCATTTATATAATAATAATTAGAATAACATCTATATAACATGTTTCGTGAATGTGGAGATCAACTTACTTAAATCTGAGAAAATAAGGAAATTATAGCTGAACTATTTTTTGAACATTTTTCTGAAGATTCTGGAAATAGTCACTGCAGCTGGAGGACATAATCATCCGTTGCACACTTTCTTTGTTTATTTAAAAATGGTTCACTGAAAACTTCACCCAAAATAACATTGTTCAAAACTTTAAGATGAGTTAAAATTTGTAACGTTCTTTGAGGCTTTCATATCTTTAATCCATTCGCTCCATGATGACCTTATTTTCCTGAAGAGGTTGGTGGGATCTTTATTTGTAATGTTGGTTTGAAGTTAATCTAATCATTCGTTTGATAACTGTCATAAACGTTAGGTTTCTGCAAACTGGTCTTACCAAAATTGACACGAACAGGTAGTTTGTGATAGAAAAACCTATACATCGAGTCTTCCTTTTGACTTACCACTTGAACTCATTCGTGATTCATCATCAACAGCAACTTTAACAAGGTTATTTCTTCCCAACCATAGTACTGTTACGGCCTCGGTGAAGGAAATATGCGCCGCGCTAGGCACCACAACACGGGTTTTCTCAAGTAGAGGATGTCGTCGAGCAAATTCTGGCCTCCAATGGATTCGTAAAGGTAGTCTGACATAACATCCATGAATGCTCCGTGTTCCAATCCAGTTTGCATCTCAATGAAAACAAAACGCGATAGAATCGGTGTTCGGCTATTACACAAAATTTCATTCGTAAGCACATATTATGTCTAGAACGTAGACTTCACGTTATCGATCACGCGATCACGCAATCACGAGTACATCGCTTTCTTGGGCAACGGCTCCTTTGTGGCAGTCTTCTTTGGCACTAGAGGTGTCCTCTTGCTGCTGCTTTCTTTCGCTTTCTTGGGCAACGGCTCCTTTGTGGCAGTCTTCTTTGGCACGAGAGGTGTCCTCTTCTTGCTGCTGGAAACTTCGTCCCTGAATCCTTTCTGGTCGATTTGAACTGCGCTCCATAGTCGGTTATCGATTGTTTTGAGGACGTAGATGATAAACTACTGAAATGCTTTCAACCTATTGTTCAACCCACTCCTAGACGACCATGCGCCTATTAAAAAAAATTAAATTGCGAATCCGACCAAACCCATGCGTCACCGATGAGATCCGCTTCTTAATTAGAACTAACGATTACTGGAGAAAGATCGCAAGGAAGTCTAACGATCGCCTGGACTGGGCTGCCTACAAGAATTTTAAGTGGGAAGTTAAGCGTAAATTAAGATTAGCTGAACGGGAATATGTTGAAAATCAGATTAGAAACAATCCCAATAATCCAAGGTGCGTCTGGAAAACGATACGATCATGTATCCCCAGAAAATCTGTGAAGAAAAAGTCTTTTAGCGACAGCGATGACGCAGTGGCCAAAGAGTTTAATGAATTCTTTAACTCTATCGGTCAAAACACAGTTGAAAAAATTTTCTCGTTGGCAAATGAATGCAGCTATGACCTCACGCAATCATCTTTTGTGCCAAGGTGCTATCTCCATTCACAACAATTTTCATTTAGACCCGTCAATTGTGATGAAGTCCAAAAGGTAATTACATTAATGCCAAGTGACAAAGCCCCGGGGATTGATAAAATTAGCATTCGAGTGATCAAGTATAGCCTTCCTGCTATTTTGCCATCCATGAAGTCCATAATTAACGAGTCCCTCGCAAGTAATACCTTTCCAATTGAGTGGAAAACAGCTGAAGTGATCCCCGTGTTGAAAGAAGGCGATCACGAAAAGCTAAATGACTACCGCCCTATATCCCTATTACCTGTTCTTTCAAAACTATGCGAGCGTATCGCTTTAAATCAACTTATGCCCTACTTGGTAGAGAACTGTCGTCTCTCCGCCCATCAAAGTGGTAATAAAAAGTGGCATTCCAGTAAGACTTCACTTATCTACACTTCTGATCACATTCTCACCGCAATTGACCAAAAAAAAACATCAGCTGTAGTTCTCCTTGATATGAGCAAGGCATTCGACAGTGTCAACCATGATATGCTGCTTAAAAAATTACAAGATATTGGCCTGTCACCCTCTGCCATCCTGTGGTTCATGAGCTACTTGTCAAACAGGTACCAAGCTGTGCGTATAAATACTGCTCTTTCCGAACCCCTGCTAATGAGGTACGGTGTTCCCCAAGGAAGCATCCTCGGTCCGTTGCTCTTTAGGGCTTACACCAATGACTTGCCATCAATCCCACAACACTGTTCCGCGGACTGCTACGTTGATGACACTAAATTGCTTATGTCATTCCAAGTGCAGGACTGTGAACCGACTATGGCTGCGATGAAAGATGATCTTATTAAACTACGTAATTGGTGTTTTAATAATAGGCTTCTCCTGAACCCGGACAAGACTAAACTGATTGTATATGGAAGTCGGCAAATGATATCGAAACGTCAGGATTTTCGCCTTACCCTCTTGGGTAAAGAACTTTTACCCGTCGACTCTGTTAAGGACCTGGGTGTAGTGTTTGATAGTAAACTCTCATTCAACGACCACATAATTAAAACAGCATCATCCTGTATGCCTGCCCTAGGGCAAATTAGCCGAGTTAAACGTATATTTAGAAAAGATATACTTGTTACAATAATTAATTCTCTCGTGTTTAGTAAGTTGTATCACTGCCCGTCCGTCTGGTCGAATACTTCTGCCAGCAATATACGCAAACTACAAGGAATACAGAATTTCGCTGCTCGCATAGTTCCTGCGACAAGGAAGTTTGATCACTTATCTCCAGCCACGCCATCTTGGCCTTTAAATCTATGACAGGTCAGGTACCAAACTACCTCAGTTCAAATTTTATCTCCAGAGGGAATATCAGTGGTCGGACGACCAGATCGTCTTCCCAGCTTAATATACCGCTTTTTAAAACCAAGTCGGGACAGAGATCTTTTTATTACAGAACTGTAACATTGTGGAATGCGTTAAAACTCCATTTTAAATTAAGTGAATCTCTTATCATTTTCAAATGTAAAATGAAAGCCTTCCTTTTAAATCAATTTTTAATGTCATAAATTTATATGTAAATAGTATCTTAATAGTTTATTGATAATCAATTTGTGATGTCATAAATTCTATATGCAAATAGTTTCTTAATAATTGTTTATTGACAATTCTTGAGTATTTTTTAATTAATTAATTAATTATTATTTTTTTGATTACCTGTACTATTAATATTTGTCTCTGAAAAGCCCCCATGGGGAGTTGACAACAAAATTTGTATTGTATTGTATTGTAATATCATCAGGCATACTGAGAATGGAAGAAGTGTCGAGATTGAGTAGTTCCCATCCAGAGCCACAAGTTCCCATCTTACCTATTTTGGGGAAGAAAACCTTAAAGATGGAAAAGAAATATAGAAATTCATCATCATTATCACCGTCATTGTCATTGTCATCACCATCACCGTCATCCTCATCCTCATCCTCCTCATCGTCATCATCACCATTATCATCATCATCATCATCATCACAATATCATCAGATCATCGTCACTTTTATTGTAAGAGCTCCTTTACGTTCTAAGTTTAGCTGTTGCTGTTCGCTTTATTGGCAATTTATCTCTGCCAATCTTTGTATACATGCATGCGGGTATGTTTGCAGCTGGAAGTTCAACTATAGCAACTTGTGAACGGTTTTTAAACGTTGTTTCAGGTAAACAATATTATATTGCATTGCATGCATGAACTGATTGATTATGAGCAAGACTTACTTATGTCTTCTACTACTGCTGAGAAATTCGAAATAAGCACATAGCTTCTTCTCCTTCTTCAAGGCTCTCTGCAGTGCCAGAGGAAAGAATTTGACATTTCGTGCTGCCCAAATTTCTTTAATATTTGCAATGGATCCTCCAGTAACCAAATGTCCCATGCTTTTGTCTTTATCGTATGCCATCATTACGCAAAGGTCGGTCCCAATCTCCAGCTCAAATGAAGTCGTGACGGTTGGTCCCTCCCCAGTGCAATTATTCTGATTGTAAAGAAGGACGCAGATGTAGCCAAGGTTGGCAGGCATCGCGATATCTGTACAGCCCCCGAAATGATCCCGACCCCGAAATGATGCCCAACCCTGAAATGATCCCCAAATCGACCCCGAAATGATCCCCATTTCTCTTCACGTCGACCTCGAAATGATCCCCAATTAATTCTTGGAATGGAACTTGTATTCCGGCAAGAAATTATTACAAACCTGTTGCAGCGTTTACGTTCTTAAATAGCGTTTAACATTTCGCTACAAATTGAAAACGTTACAGTCAAAAACAGTATTTTACCTTCTTCCCTTACCATAAGACCCCGCTCGCGCCTCAACCTAATCCCCTATCGTCTCTCATCCCAAAAAACGCTTATATAGCGACTTGGTACGAGTCTGAGTCAAGAAGACTTTAGCAGCGACGGATCAAACAAAGTATATAACCAGGGCTATAATCACCTAAGTAATAATTTCAAAAAAATGTTATGTTTCTTGATATTATCAGTTGCAGTTCATGGTGTTCCTAAAAATATACTAGAACTTTGTGTATTTTTTTGATAATAATATTTCCCTGCTTTTAATCCAGTTCAAAGTGTAATCCCAAATTAATGTCATGTGGGCAAGTGAAGATTATTAGTGAAGCTTCAGTTATAATGTTGTGCATTTTGCACGATCCATAGTTCTAGGATATCATTCCATTCGACGTGAAGAGAAATGGGGATCATTTCGGGGTCGATTTGGGGATCATTTCAGGGTTGGGGATCATTTCTGGGTCGGGATCATTTCGGGGGCTGTACATATCCCAGTTGACATGTCCCTATTTGTGAAATAAATAAGACACGCGTAGGTGATTAGGCATTAAAATAAGTTAACACAAGTGCAATCAAACCTCATGTGTACAACGGTCACCCTTGGGAAATGGCAAGGTGACCGCTACATACAGTTCAACTTTGCAGAACATATAAGACACCTGAAATTTTGGGAAGTTGTCCTGTGATCATATAATTTTTTGCAACTTATAAATGTTGTTTACATCCTTCTTTGAGGTAGAGCCAAAAAAAGTCGAAATTTGACCGCTTTTACATGAGCAAAGGGAAATTTTTCAAGGGGAAAATTCTTGAATATATCAAGTTTTGCCAATTTAGTAATCAAGGGTTACCATGCATAGATAAACATTTCACGTCTTAAAATTACCAATTAATTACCAATAATAAGAGTAACAAAATCTCAGGAGAAAATTATCTTCACCTGCTTACAGCCAAATTGTTGTATTGTAAAGTTAGGGAATACATAGTAATTTTATTGTAGTTTCTGTTGGTGTTTCTTGCTTTGATATCAATAGTGTTTTGCAGTTTGTAAAATATCAAGAAGAGAGCCTTCGAACTAATCAATTTATTTCATTCATTATCCTCTTTCTAGCTAAAGCTGGGCAACAGGTCATCAGCTAGTGCTCGCTCATTTTGTTCCTGGAGTTTGACTGTCTAGAATGGATTAAGTATTAGTAGTAAATCTTATTGGCTAGCTACTTTGGCTATCTAATTTACTGCTTAATGTCCATTAGATTTTTAGCCTCCTGTAACAGTGCAATTGCAATTCAAGAAGTAAGCTTCTAATCGAAAAGTATCAATTGTATCGCCCAAATTTAAAATTTACAATAATTAAGGGCTGTTGAGAACCAATCACATACAGACATTTTATTGCTGACTCGACTGAGGAAGTACTTCAGCAATGCTGAAGACTCGTGATAAACCCTATTACCTTGTATCTCGTTCTGTAAAATGGGGCGGAATTCTGCATTTGCCTTTGTAATAACTCCAATTCTGTCTGCAGTTTATCCTTGGAAGCTTTATAGGCTTCTGCCTCGCAAAGATCATCAGTCACATATGGGGGATCATAGGGAAAAAATAGCTGAAAGATGATAAAGAACAAGAAAAGTTTGTCGACGTCGATTAAACATTTTTAAAACAGGTATGACGTCCAATTTGACCCATTCCAACGAAGCTGATACCTGTGGGCAGAAGGCTGTGGCAAGCTGTAGGACCGATAAAACTGGCTGGTGAATCGTGAGAAAAAAAAAAACGTTTAAGTTCAAAGAGGCTTTATTATATGGCTTTGACTTAAATTACGAACCCGGGTTTTTAAGTAGCGGCTGCTCGTACCACTCTCGCCCAGTTGGTCACCATCAAACGGTAATAATTCATGGAAATATAGCTGAGTGACACATTTCATCTCTTGAGGTATGATAAGAATACTCGGATCATGGTAGATCAAATGAACCGACGAATCCACTTCTGAACAAGGATTCATCGGATCATTTGATCTACCATGATCCGAGTGATCTTGGATCAGTGATCCTGATCCGGATCATCTGAAAGATATGCACCCTTAAATATCCAATAAGGTCACGCAAAAATTAGTTAATTAGCATGTGAATTGCCACAACCGCCATGTCTGCTCGAAAGGACGACTTTCTCACCGCTGGGAATTAACTTGTAGCCAAATTTGTTGTATCGCGTTGCGTGTTTGCAAACTTTGAACGGGTTTTTCTGTTCCGTCAATCATTTGAGTAGGGGGTGGAGTTAATGCCAATCACAGTGCAACGCACTCGCCCAGCTTGGCCCGCAAAAACGAAATTGACAATGACCCTAAACTGCTCAAGAATAGTGAAGGAAATCGCGAAGATGAGTGGAATTTTTGTTGAGGGCAGGAGGCAGATATTGCATTATTCTTGCAAGAGATAAAGATAAGAAATATCATAAAAAGCTTCGAAGAAACTAGTCGATCATTGCCCGAAACAGCGCGAGCACAAACAGCGAACGTTGAAACGCAGAATGAAACAAAGTGGATCGAAAGGCACCAATCACAAGGAAACATGTATTTCCTGAGAGGTCCGCTAAGATGATTGACGAAACAGAAAAACCCAAAATTCCTTCGAAGTTTGCAAAAGGAGCAGCGCGATACAACGAATTTGGCTATAACTCCTATTATAATTAATGCAAAATTTGCGAAAACTATTAATTGTTATACTGATCTATTGTATTGTAAATCAGCACGACCCTCTCGCCACATAAGAGATAATGGGGAGTTAGGTTTATCTAAGTAGTAAGGGTGACTGCACGTCTAGTTTTCAAAGGCGGAAAATACCAGATATTGAAACAACGGTATTGCAGTTTATGTTGGAAGCAGTCCCTGACGGTACACAATCCTTTGTTTTCTGTTTACAAATCATGATACTGAATAAATAAATGCGACGTTAATTTTATTCGTTAATAAGATCTGAATGACAAAAATACTATTGAACATTGTGCACCGCCAAGTCCACAAAAATATAACAAACGAGTCTCACGGGCTTCATAACCATTCCACTCTTCTAACTTTGGTGAAATTAATCAGGCAACATGGAATTCTCTTGTAGTTTTGAATTCCTAATTTTTGCTTTCCTGACCTAATCTGATCCTTAACTCAGTTGCATAATTAACTGACTCCCTACAGGATCCGTACTCACATGTGTCGGCGAACCTTAATATGTGATTCGATTGTTTTAGTCACAAGATCTTGGAACAGATCTCCATTCTTTGCCTTAGGTCCCATGAACCAAGTTCCAAAAGCTGACCACGGTTTATGCCGTCCGTTAGAAAGATCTTCTGCTGCAAACATGTTGTTCTGATGAAGTACATATTAGGTGCTCGGTTTGCAAATATCAATCCCGGGAAAGAACTTTTCATCTGCGCATAACATTGACTCAACAAAATCCTAAAATCCTAGTACATATTCCATAAGTCTTATTTACAGATCGTTCCTGAAAATTAGTAAAAATAACAATTTAAAAATAAAAATTAATCTTTAAAATCCTATATACAAATCCTTCTTAATAAAGAGAATAAAACAATAAATTAGCTGGGAAACGCCTTCTAAAATAAATGAGTTTTAAGAGCCTTCTTGAAAGCATTAACTGAAGATATATTTCTAATAAAAGGGGAAGATCGTTCCATAATTTAGGGGCAGCGAAATAAAAAGATCGATCACCAAGCGTGGAAAGAGACTTGCATGGTGGAATGTTAAGAAGTTTGCCGTTATTTGATCTAAGATAGTACCTACCCCCTGTGTCTTTCGGTGATACAAGTTCGGAAATGTAAGTCAGAGCAACTTTATGAATGGCCTTAAAAGTTAACAATAAAATTTTAAAAACAATTCGATATGCTACGGGTAACCAGTGTAGGGCTCTGAGCAATGATGTAATATGGCAAAATTTACTTTCGTCAAATACAAGACGTGCAGCAGAGTTCTGGACTCTTTGCAGTTTTTGAATCTGATACGCTGGTAAGCCATATAAGAGGCTATTGCAATAGTCAAGGCGGGTAGAAATAAAGGCATGTATCAGAGTTTCAGTACATTCTTTGCTGAGATATTTCCTTATCCTCCTGATATTGTACAAATAATAGAATGCTGCAGAGCTTGTTTTCGTTATGTGAAAGGCCCATTGATAGGTTAGAATCTAACCACACACCCAGGTTCCGAACGGGAGATTGTGGAGCAATGACAGAGTGTCCAACAGTTATGCCATCAATTGTGATTTTTTGTCTGGTGCCGATCAAAAGAAGTTCCGTTTTGGCATCATTCATGAGCAACTTGTCTTGAGACATCCACTGCCTGATGACTTGAATGCAATGTTCAATAGAAGCAACTGCATCAGCCTGGCCAGAGTGCGCCTTGGGACTAAACGAGATGTATAACGGAGAGTCATCGGCGTAAAAATGGACAGTTGGGAGGTGCGTCTCCACGACATCAAACAGTGCGCTTGCATAAACTGTAAAGAGAAGTGGACCAAGACACGAGCCTTGAGGAACACCATACCGCAGGTCAAACTTATTAGATACAGTTCCCCGAACAGACAGTCGCTGGGAACGGCCAGACAAATAAGATCGAAACCAGGCAAGGCCAGTGCCATTCAAACCAAGTTAAGGAGAATGCTGTGATCAACGGTATCGAAAGCAGCACTGAGATCAAGCAATACAAGGATAGTAACGTGCTGCTTGTTCATATTTAACAGAGTATCGTTCATTACTTTCAAAAGTGCTTTTTCAGTGCTGTGATTTCTTGTATAAGCAGACTGCGCAACTGGGTATAAGTTATTACGA